CAAAACTTATACGCACTGTTACACCTCTGTCTTAACGCGAGTCAATTTAAATCCCTACTTTACACTAGACTGTTTATCAGGCAGCGATGCGTATCGGAATTCGTTCAGTGTTTCTCCCGATATGGACAAGCCTGTTGGTGGTGACCAAAATGTCAGAGAAGATTCCATGCGATTAAAATCATTGAATCACAAAACCTACAGTACAGCTCGTTTACAGGATATGCACCAAAATCCTCGAACTGCAGAACGGTAAGGATTGGCAAACTATTGAAAACAACCGAACGATTAAGAAATTAGTTCTAAGACTGACGGTTAGGACACGACACATTTTAGACCTCAAAGCAAAAACGGGTTTATCATCAGGGAGACAAGAGATTCTGAAAAGGGTGAAAGATTGCTGTAGAATCCTGTATAAACTTGAAAACAGCAACACCCTACTTACGACAAGGAATCTGAAGACACAAATGAAGTTCAGATATCTTGTTAAAAAGGTGCTAAATTTAATGCAACAGACAAAGCGAAAAAAGACTCACAGTATAGACGACATTGCAGTGGATGCTCGTTGAACCAGAATGTGAAGCAATGGTTAAGATATTAGAGGCCATTTGACATTGGATTTCGGAATGAGTGATTCTACTAAGCAAAAGGAGAGACGGAGAGGATTTGAAGAAATACAAACTAATCATTTATTGCTAATCATCTTTACGAAGGTATGGAGAACCGATTTCAAGAAAAACTGGCTTCTGTACAGTCATGGGAGCAATAAGAATACAGAAGTAGAATTAATAATATGGATCATCTTCAAGTGCTACAACAAATGATTCCGACAAGCAAGTACTATAAGTTTCGTCTTTGTCAGCGGTTCGTAAATTCCAATGTTTTCGATTCCGTCTGCACACGGTTATTATTCGAATCATTTAGGATGCAGGGAGTAAAGAAAAGATACTGGGACCTCATCGCCTTGATTTAAAACAATACAGTCACTAGTGCGAAGCTTCACGAAAATATTTTCTTTATCTTCTTTCATTATTGCTTAGTTAATTTACACCAAGTCTGTTTAATTTGTCGTGAGCTGAGAAGCAGCAACGGTGAAATTGAGTCCAATCTTCATACTTCCTCTCAACCTCGATTTTTTGCACCTGTCCATCATGCACGCTGTAAAACAGAAGTTCTATTGTCCTAATCACATTCTGTTCCAAACATAAGAGCACGCATAAGAATCGGCGCACACTAACTCTATTTGTTACCTATAAACTAACCAGACTTTAATACTTACAGATTTTGAATAGTAACCCATCGTATTTCCGAAGAAAAACAGACCAATAGGAACACTAACGTACAACGCAAACCGAAACACTTCTAACTTCCAGCCTCCCATATAAGCTAAATCTACAATAAAGTTCAACATGACAACAATCAGGACAACAAAGAAGCATTTACGTATAGTATTCTCCAGGTCCAAATCTCTGCAATTTTGCTATCAAGTACGATGCATGTAATTTCTTTTTCGACCACGTGAAAATGTAGAAAAATACAGTATAATGTTTCAAAACTCCTAGTGATTTTTAGGAGCTAATCAATGACAATCCGCATTATGGCGAATTTTCTTCCTCGTTCTGTGCCATATGGCATAACGGGAGTCAGTCAATTTTAATCACTGTTTATCCATTCGGATCGTGAAAACAAATGCATCAGACAGTGTTGCCAAAATTTTCAATCCTTTGGCGCGTTTGTGCTTCAGCAAAAGATGAACTCAGTCTGGAGCAGAGTACTTTCATACACTAGTACCAGGTCATTATTGGCCGTCTCTGGAGTCTTCGGTAGATCAGTTGAGTAAGTATAGCTGTTTCGTTTTACATTCTGAAAGAATTTACAGAATGTACGTATATCATAGCAGCTATGATTTCTCAATCTGGAGATACTCTCTAAGGTATGTGTACTCTGGAGAATAAGACGAGTCAATTCTTTCGAATAGTAGCATGTATGTCTTGCAAAGCAACTTCCCCTGATACAGCGGCAATGGCTTCAAAGCAAGGTTAATGAATATTCACTGTATTAAAAAACTTTTTTTCCTTTGTTTATTAGATAATTCAGTGCATGCTACTGTTGAACAGAAACAAAATTTATTGATCCTCTATCTTCTATTATGATTAGTTTTAAGGTAAATCAAACGTCGCAAAACTTTCAGTGCTTAAACTATACTTGAGGGGAAATGAATTTATCATATTGTTGTTTTTGACATATATTCTTGGTGAAAATCCATGGTTCTATATTATTACCACTTCATCAGATGAAAGTGATGAATGCTGGCCACATATTTTGCGAAATATGAATAGATTTATTTGAATTCGCAACTTTGCCTGTTCGTTTGCACAGCGCCAACAAATAGACAAGTTTTCAACCGGCCACAGTTTGCTATGCAAAAACCGATGTATGCAGTTAGTCATTAACCTTGGACTGTCTCCGGATTATGCTTCGTCTTCTCGTGTGAGCTACTTCGCATAAACATCCAAATATATTTATAAGCAGTGAGCTGCTGTCTCAACACTTGCTTGATTTAGGATTTTCTATAGGCTCTTTCTCCATCGCTGAAGTACATCGGCTTCGCTGGTAAGAACGCGTTCCGACTTTACCTCTTCAAATAAACAGGCATCAATTTGAAAGTTCAGTAAAACTACCCTGCAAAGTTGTTCGTTATGCACGAAAATGATACAGCAATCATTTCATTTAAGCGTCAGCAAAAACAACGATGTACTTTTCAAAATTAAACTATGGTTTCGTGTGCCATGACCACTGAAGAACAGTTAAGAAGGTGGAACATTGGAGATTAGTGGAGCTTTGCAATTAGTGGGAAGCAACGCAATCGAAACCACTTCTTTTGACCCGTAAATGCTGGTGCGATATGATGATAGAGTAATGGTTAATTGGTCGGTTATTCGTGAAGTCTTAAGTAATATACTTCAAGCCGTATTCAGATAGAGCTTTGATAGTCTCGACAAATTTAACACCCTGCGAATCACGTTACTTCCAGAAGCTCAGCTGAGAATGCAGAAGGGAAATATTATCCAAGAGATTTACTATATTGCAATGACGCATTCACATTCTGTTGCTTCTAGATACATCGAAATATTTCAGCAGGGTGAACTACTGGCGTTCGCAAATATCATATCACATTACCATGTATGGTTAAACAAATCGAAATCGATTGAAATCCTTTTTTGACAGTCGTTCCTTAATATCTAGTTCATTCGTTTTCAAACGGCTACCAATCAGAGTCATAGTCCGTCAATTATTCGGTATGGTGTGGACAAATTACCATCACATTTTAAAATCAATTAGAAGATTAGTTCATATCGGTTTGGATAAAAATTAATGTGCCTTTCAGTTCAGACCTGTAATGTGTGATTTCTGTAGCATTTCTGCGTAAGCTTCAGCCTACATCAAAACCACGGCGCGAGTTTGAACAGGCAGGAGACGACGATGAGGCACTGATATTTGGACAGATTAACGATGATCCAGTGAAACCGCGAAATTAGCAGCTTGGTCTGAACAATAAATCAGATTGAGTCCATACCTGTGTGAATTACTGCATACGAGTATGGATTGAATTGCATATTAATAGGAATTTATGTCGATATGGACGGTTACAAAAATAAATGTTGATGGATTGTGACATTCCATGATGCTCTACCTGAAATTGCTCAGGTCGACCCTCTTGTTCAGACTTGTAGTGGTATACTACTTTGATGAAGATTTATGGTATACCACTTTTATTGGGCTCATGGCATATTGCTAATTTGGTGTGTATGTGAATAATGCTCACGTCCATAAAATTCTGCATATTGAGGTCTACGTGAAATTAATGGCTGAAAAAGGAGAAACATGGACTCGGTTAAGCGAGTGAGTGTCATAGCGGCTTTCAAAAAAAATCAATAAATCATTTTCATTAATTTCTTATACTTTATTACACTAAGTGCAGTGATCTACAGGTCACCGCAACAGTTATGTCGAAACGTCTCA